AACTTGTTTAAAACTTGAAAAATCATTGAGAACAAAACCACTGTGACTTTCTTGATGTTATGCTCCGTGTTGTCAAACGATGACCCATAATATTTTGCGAGTAATTTATTCGATTGTGACCAAGTTGATAGGGTTTTCTATGTTTTTTATAGTTTGTAATTGTCATTTTGGATAGAGTGATATGTATTCTTTAAACCTTTCATTAATATGTGATCATATTTCAGTTATAAAAACTGAACCTTATTAATACGTCTGTCAAATCCGTTTCTATCTTCCTATGGTCGTTTACTCCGTAATTTGGCATCAGTACTGATTTTCAGAAGACGAATTATTATCACATAAGTTGGGGTTGTCGATTTGTTAACTCAACTTATACTAAAAGAATGAAACATAGAAACTCTAGTCGTTCATCGATTTGCATCCAGATCATAACTACTTTCTTGTTATAAAACGTTGGATGTAAAATAATGCAAGTTTTTAGATGATAACGTACTTAATACGAAGACGTAAAAGAGATAATAGGACTATAAAAATGTAAAGAGTTAATAGATACATATAATCTTTCTACGCTTATTGGCAAATACAGCAAATCAAAGTCATCATATAATTTCATTACAATGAACAAAATTTGCCTCTCTCCAAATTCATTAAGATGTGGCATTTTTCCTTATTACTTCACTTTGTAGACACGTTTTGAAGAAAGCCTTGGAAATAATAAATGATAATCATTCTAATATAAGATCTAAATCATTGAGACGGTCGTTTAGTTTCTTGCGAAGCCAAATGAATCGCCAATGGTTTTGAAAAAACGTTTTTACTTCTACATCCTATTTGGTTAACTTGATTGTTCATGGTTATATGGTCAGGAATGCATTAATGGTGCTGGCTTATAATAATAATAAAGTATATAAACGTTGATATTCAAAACAGTTGAAGTAGATGAGCATGAAGCTTCTCAGATTGTAGATACCTTCCTTTATACACATAAAACTACTCATACTTGTCTATTAAAAACAGTCTAGATTATTGTATTCTGCTGATGAATTGGTCACGTAAGATTAAACTCACAACGAACCCTGTTGTAATTATTGATTTGTGCAAGAAAATACCTTAGTGTATGTGGTAACAAAAGGTCTAACTCTAAAATATGAAAACTACACTACACAAAAAGTAAATGTTCACCCGGCAATTCATAAGCTTTAATCTGGGTTTTGCTGACCATTGTTTAATTGTGAAATCTAAAGGGGTCTTCAACATATTTCTTTAGTGTTTTTAAACAACCTGGACGAAACTATCCACAAGTTAACAGCGTTCTCACAACAGAACTTAAAGATATTGGCTAGTAACTACGTTTAGCTGCTTTTTTGCTGTTTTTAAGCCAGACGTAGTATAAATACGTAGTATATTGTCGGACTAACACAAAATAGATTTTGTCACCGTGTTCCAAAAATCGTTATCTAGATGATATTTTGTGCCCTTTCTGAATATTCAACTTTTGAATCAAGTGTAAATCGGCAGAATTGTGTGTCGTTTGCTTCCACTCCAGGAAAGATATTTTATTATTTATCCATTTATTTGAGCACATAAATATTGATACAAAGGAGCACCAGATATATATGTGCCACACAAAACAATGTGAATGGGAAGAGAAAAAGATGGGGTGCGCATAAGAAAAAAAAGAATAACGACCACAGATTAGTGTAATAAGTATAATAATGGGAAAAACGGAAAGGTACAATCAGAAAGAATTCCTTCAGTTAAAAAAAGTAACAACCATTTTTTACGAGGAAAATAAAAGAAGGTTACAGCAGGATCGCCAATGGCTTCTATTCTGAACCATATCTGATAACGTCTATAGCCACTACGTTACACCATCTCTCTAGCGAAAATAAACAAAGTATCGACACGATACATTCTAATCAGATATCTTGCCAGTTTTATTATGTTAATACATCGACCTGTTCAGAAGCTGTAATAAGGTATCTGGGCATAGCATGGTAGCCGACACTACATTCTTTATCCAGCCCTGTCCTGGGCAATCGTTTCCAGTTCCTAATCATCCTTTTCATATCTGCTTCCAATTCCAGACGTAGTGTGTTCTTCTGCCTTCCTCTTTTCTGTTTCCCTTCGGGATTCCAAATTAGGGCTTGCCTCGTAGTATAATTCGGTGATTTCCTCAATCTATATTCTATCCACTTCCAATGTCTCTTCCTAACTTCCTCTTCATCTGGAAGCTCGTTTGTCCCCTCCCACAGTAGGCTGTTGCTGATGGTATCCGGTCAATGGATGTTGAATATCTTGCGCAGAAAATTGTTTGTAAATACTTGTACTTTTTTGATGATGGTTCCAGTAGTTATCCACGCTTCAACTCAGTACAGTAGGACTGTCTTGACGTTCGTATTGACGATTCTGACTTTGATATTAGCTGACAGTTGTTTTGAGTTCCATATGTTTATCAATTGTAGGGATGCAGCTCGTGCTTTGCCAATCCTTGCCTTTACGTCTGCATCAGATCCTCCTTGTTCATCGACGATGCTTCCCAGGTACGTAGAAGATTCCACCTCTCCCAGAGCTTATCCATCAAGTGTGGTTGGGTTGCTGTTCTCCGTGTTGTATTTGATGATATTGTTTTCTCCTTTGTGCATTTTGAGGCCAACTGATACAGCGGCTGCCGCTACACTGTTTGTCTTGACCTGCATTTGTTCGTGCTTATGGGATTGAAAAGCCAGATCATCTTCAAAGTTCAAAGCGTCCAGTTGCATCCAACCTGTCTATTTCATTTCATGCTTCCACTCAGACGTCGAAGTCTTCATAATCCAGTGAACCACCGGAAGAAAGAGAAAGGAGGAGAGTAGGCAGTCTTGTCTAACTCCGGCCCTTGTTTGGAATGTGTCTGTCAGCTGTCCTCCATGCACGATATCGCAGTGTAGTCCGTCTTATGAATTCCGGATGATGTTGATGGTTATCTCAGGTACACCACAAGGTCTTCCTATCTACACTGTCAAACGCCTTCTCATAGTCAATGAATTTGATGAATAGTGACGAGTCCCATTCAACTGATTGCTCAACAATGATCAGTAATGCGGCGATTCGGTCTGTTCACAACCGATCCTTACGGAATCCCGCCTGTTGATCTCGAAGTTGGGCATTTGGTTTAGCAACACTCGAAAACGTTTCCTGGTACTGACAGTAATTTGATGCCTCTGTAGTTCTCACATTTGCTCGGATTTTCTTTCTTTGATATCTTGATGAGATATCCTTTTTTCCAGTCCATTGCCATTTGTTCTTCCTCTCAAATCTTTCTGAATAGAACGTGGAGCATGTTTGTGGTCACTTGTATATCTGACTCTAGTGCTCTGACTGGTAATATTGTCAGGTCCTACTGCTTTCCCACTCTTGATTTGTCTGATGGCCATTCTGATTTTTTTCGATCGTTGGTGGAGTGACATCAGTAGAAAGGTATGTAGATGCAGCTTCGATATCCGGTGGATTCAATGAAGCTGGTCTACTCAAGAGTTCATCGAAGTGTCCCATTCATCTGTTCCTCCGTCCTTGAATTTCAGTTATTAGCTTGCCTTCTTTGTCTTTGATCGGTCTCTCTGGTTTGCTATATTTCCCTGTTAGTTTCTTCATTGTGTCATATAGTTGTTTCATATTTCCTTCTCTTGCCGCCTTTTTCACTGTCGCTGCTCGGCCTTCCAGCTATTTTCGCTTGCCAGTTCTAATTCTCCTCTTCACTTGCTCGTTTGCTTCTATGTATTCAGCTTTTGCCTTCACTTTCCCTATTGTTGTTCATTGCTCTCTTCTTGTTCTTCCTTTCTTGAATTTAGTCCAGGGTTCCGATAGAGATCCATTCCTTATGGTGATACTTCTTGAGGCCCAGAATCTCTTGACTCGTTGAAGTTGGTGCTTCTTTGATTCCTTTCCAGTTGCCCTCCATCCTAGTTTTTTCTTCATTCAGTAGATCCTGTAAGGCTTGGAACCTGTTGTTGAGAGTTATTTTGAATTCGTTGAGTTTGTTAGTATCTCGTAGGGAGGCTGTATTAAACCATTATACTGCTGTTTCTTGGATTATCCAGTGCTTTTTTAGCCTCAGTTTCATCTTGGCAACCACCAGATGGTGATCTGAAGCTATGTCAGCTTCTCTCCTGGTTCTCACATCTTCCATTGACCTTCTGAATTTTTCACTGATGCAACAATTATCTATATGGTGTTCTGTTGTGTGGTCTTGTGAGACCCATGTGACTTTTTTGTAATCGTTCGTGGGAGAATAATGTGCGCCTATAATCAGTTTGTTGAATGCACATAGATTTGCGAATCTCTCGCCATTCTTGTTCCTTTCTCGTAATCCATGTCGTTCCATGATTTTTTCCGGAGTATTTCATTATGATCGATCGCAGGCTCTCGTTAAACTGATCTTTATCGTCGTCATTGCTATCATTGGTGGGTGCATAACTTTGGATAACATTAATTGTGATTTCCTTCCTTTTTGTTTTGAAGGATGTTTCAACGATCCTGGATTCATGAGATTCTTGTCCATTCAGTGCATTTCGTGTTTCTTTAGACAGCATTAGAGCAACTTCCTGAACGTGTAGAGCTTTTTCCTTTTCGTGACTGGAGTACAGTAGCATCACTCCTGTACCTAACCTTCGCTATTGAGCTTGTGTTCAATGAATTTCACTGATTCCAAGGTTCGCCAAGTTTTATCTCTTCATTTCATTAGCTAGTTCAGTGGTCCTCTCGGTCTCCAACATTATCCGAACATTCCATGTACCTGTAAAAGTTGTTGCTCTAGTTTTTAGAGGGGACATTGGCCTCGTGATTTCCGAAGAATGTCGGTTTTTATCATGAGGCGTCATAATTCTTCTTTCAATTTAAAGGGCAGAGTTTAAACTGTTTATTCTGGTTAGCGTTTTTCAGCAAGATTGCTTTCTACGAGATGGAGTTGCCGACCCCACGCTCAACCCTCCTCTTTTACCCGAGCTTGGGACCAACAGTATATATATATATATATATATATATCACCCAGTGTTTCTAGCCTTTTATTTACAAACTGCTAAATTCTTTATATTGGTAGCAAACAAGATTGAGTTCTGGTAGATTTTGATTTTCCAAATTTTAATGTGCTAACCTTTTCAACACATCTTGATAAGGGTCAGCAAAGTGAATAAAATTTATCTTGTGGTTATCCTATAACTCAACTTATCTGTTTATCTAATTCCAGTGATTTAGCGAAATGATCAATTAAGATTTCTTTACAATGTAGGTTTAACTACATAACACCAATTATGAATAAACATTTGTACTTATCATCCTTTATTTAAATTTAATGGTATTAATGGTTTATGTGTAATAATTTAATCAAAAAATGAATTAAGTGATATTTCTAAGCATTTGTTTTTTGTTTTGTTTTTGACTTATAAGGATGTTTGACTATCAAAATGAAGACATAATATCGATTCAGGCCAACTCTCTTGATGTAGCTAAATATTTGAAAAATCATGGCATTTCCGATTCAGTCATTGACATTTTCACTACGAACACAATCGATGGATTGTCATTTTGTCTGTTAACGGAGAAAGACTTATATGAAATGGATATCAAAGAGGTTGGTGTTAGAAAACGTATCATGTATTTATGTTACTTCTGGCGTCACCAAATTGAAAATCATAATTATGGAGAATATACTTTCCCAAGATTACCAAGTGAGAATTCTGTAGTTGATCTGCTATGCTGCCATAATCCTAAATTGGATAATATGGAACAAGATGTATCCAGATTAAGTGGAAACGATAATGTGGAGTGTATAGCAGACAGTACTTTTTTAAATGATTACGATTACGGAATAGATGAAGACAATACAAATTTCTTGAAATTTATAACCAGTTGTTTATATTTCATTTTTTCTACATTTGTTACAGCATTTGTTATAGTTTCGGTCCATGAACGTTTACCTGTTACATCTAAATATCCTCCGTTGCCAGATATTTTTCTGGATAATCTTCCTCATATCAGTTGGGGATTTATTGCAGCAGAAGTGGTTATCATTGTACTGTTTATGATTTGGCTGACTATTTTATTTCTACATAAATATCGGTGGATACTTTTACGTCGTTTTTTTGTGCTTATGGGCACGATATTTTTATTAAGATCAATTACTATGTCGATAACTTCACTAAGTGTCCCTGGAGTGCATTTAACAGATCAATGTAGCCCATATATAATAAAAAATTATACAGAACGCTTCAAACGTGTATTAGAAATATGGATGGGTTGTGGTTTATACATTACAGGATTACGAACTTGTGGTGATTATCTATTTAGTGGTCATACAACATGTCTTACTCTTCTTAACTTTTTCATTAGTGAATATTCACCACGAAGATTTTATCTTTTGCATACATTTACATGGGTTCTGAATCTTTTCGGTGTATTTTTCATACTTGCTTGTCATGAACATTATTCTATTGATGTATTCATTGCTATATATATTTCATCAAGATTATTTCTATACTATCATTGTCTTGCTAATAATAATTTATTACATCAACCAGATAATGAACGTTTAAGAATATGGTTCCCACTGTTTTCATTTTTTGAACATGATGTACGGTCAGTTGTACCGAATGTATATGAAATACCCTTTAAAGATTATTACAACTATAAATTTAATCGCAATAACAATAATAGTAACGGGAGCAGAAGCAGCGGCAGTAGTATCCATACCAATGGTAACAGTAGTTGTAGCAGTAATATAACTGGTAATTACAATCAAAATTACGGTAAAAGGCAATTGAATAATGTTCGTCGTAAATCTACACGTTGTCTGCTACATACCTATCATAATACTAATAATCATGAGTATTCAACTTGCAATCATATAACACAAACATTAGGAAATACATTCATTACAAAACGTTGTGAGATTTTTAGTAAAAAAGAATCTTAGTGATATTTTTTTTATTTCCAATACTTCTCAACTTTTAAATAACTACTTGAAAATTTTATCATTTTCTTATGAAAATATTTTACTGTGATGAACAGTGAGTGAGTGCATTGTGTCATGTATTTCAAAATTAGTTATCTTTTGTTCAACAAGTAATTTGTAAACATGTGATAGATGTACCCATTTTCTTTATATATATATATATATATATATATATATATAATGTACGGATAGATCAATCTTGTCTTCCTTTATAAATTGTTCATGTGTAAAATCGTTGCAGTTTTCTAAAAAGGTCCAGCTGTTAGTTTTCGAAAAAGACATAGTTTAGAGAAATAGTTTGTGTGATTAAACTAATTGTCTTTAGAGCAAATATTCAGACCATTCAGGGTCTGAATTATTTATAGTTAGTGATGATGAAAGATAAAACTTCACTGTCATTTTGTTTTTAAAAAGAAAAACGTTCAATACCATAATATCGTTTCATCTACGTGATATTAAACGATTGTGTAAGTTATAAAAACAGAAGTTGAACCATTCGATTGTTGGTTTGCATTTTTAAATCATAATTTTCATATGGTTAGCTTCAATCAAATAGAAAATATCATTAATCTTAAAACAAAATGTGTATCTCAAAGCCGAACACTCGACAGAAAAAAGGCAAAAGTTGTATTGTTTTTATTCAAAGTGAAAAACAACACTTTGTAAACTGCGTAATATGAAGTGCCGACCTATAAAAACAAATTAAATTTTTCCCCTTTGATAAATTTAGATAATGTGACGGGGAGACGAAGGTTATCAGAGCTATTTAATATGTTAGCTTAATACATATCAAACAATCTGACTACACATTTATTTGTCAGGTCGTTTATACATGGAAAAATCAAGGTCAACTAGAAAAATTAAAAGATGGCAGAAAAACAAAGATAATAGGAAAAATAGTGGAAAATTACTACCTGTTCAAATGCTAAGATCATCATTTCTATAAATCATATTATTTTATCACTAATTTACAGTATTGATGTAGCTTTAACTCAATTATCTCACTAGATTTATTTATTTGAGCACATAAACATTGGTACAAGGGAGCACCAATGAGGCCAGTAGCAGTTATTATTGATTTACGCGAGGGCTGGAATACTGACCGGGTGCCCAGACCGAAGCAGATGTTTCCTTGAGGAGCCATACCCAGAGCCTTCGACTTAAAGGTCTGATCCACAAGGCAGTGGAGCAACTTGAGATGATGAAGTCCCATGGTAGCCGGTGACCAACAACTTGGTCATACAGCTTTTGTTCCCTCAGGATCCTGGAGCCCATGTGCACCAGTAGTTTTGAATCAGGGTTTTCCAACTACTCTAGGAACCCCTGCCACAAGAAGATAGTGATTAGGACTACCCTGGTAGTGGCTGTATGTGCGTGGCCATGTGAGAGCATTTGGATAGGGAGAACGGACTCTCCCCACCTTCGGCGGTACCAGGGCATTATTTCACCACCTCATTAATCAGCTAATCAGAATTAAAATGATTAGGACAATTTAAGCTAAATCAGTCCATGGGTTCCGAGAATAAGAAACAAACAAACCACTTAGCTAACTAGTACACAGTTTCCAATCATATAATTTAAGTGGCTGAAAACCTTCATTTTATTAATACAGAACAATAAATGACTTTCTCGAAGTTTATTTTAAAAAATTCCCTTTTATATGTCATGTTAATCGTCAAAATAAATTTTTGTTTGGGAGTTGAATTAAACAAGCGATTATCTAAAATGGAAACAGAACATATATCCACTCACCACCACTCTATTGAATGTTGTTATGTTTTGAAGATTGTGTGTATGTACACGTGTATCTCATAAAACAATGAGATAAAGTCAACAACAATAGATTATTCATTGCATGGATCGATGAATAAACCAATCCATAATCATAAGTTCCACGCACTGTTTGTCACCTAACATTTAATTAAGGTGTAGTCTTGATAATAACGGTTCAAAAACAAATATTCTGTATGTGAATTATAGAATTAAGAAGGAGAAATTCTTCTGCATTTATAGCATCTCTCCTACATTTAAGCTTGTTTACGCTAAATGGTGTAAAGCCCTTCGACTAATTTATTTAACAGACAAAGTTATTCGAAAAGTAACAACATATCTGTTTTTTTCTATTATTATTATCATGTATGTACAAACATGTATACTTAATCATATGTGACAGTCTACGCACATAACCTTCTCTATAGCTTTGGGATCGCTCGACGAATCATCCACTTCCCTATATATATATATATATATATATATATATATATATATTGGGCTATACTGGCTGGAACAACCGTTCCTCAAGGTCCTACCATGCCAGACAGGTCGGTTGAAGAGCGGTAAGACTAAAAGCAACAAATCCAAGGTCCGAAGGCGAAGTCGTACTGCTGACTGTACAGAGGTGTGACGGCAGTAAGTTGTTTCCTTCAGACAACTGGCATAACAGCGATTCTGTCTTCCCACAAGGAGGAGTGGGGTTACAAAAGGTCGACCCGAGAAACGCACACCTCGTCTTATCTCACGGATATCCGTCTCCGGTGGCAAAGTCCCGACAATATAGGGTTGACTCGAAAACTACTCACAAAAAAGTCGTATGTGAACGGCCTCAAGCATTCGCCTCTTTGGAACTGCGGTCACGCTCTCAGGTCACTAAGACCACCTCTAACGTAATTTCCTTTCCAGGTACCTCCAGAAGAACCCTTCCACGAGGTGGGCAACTGGGAAGTGGTAATTGCCCTCATACCTCTAACAGCACTCAAGACCACAGTATTCATTATCAGTTTCCCTCTTCAATCCCCATTATTCCTCCTACATCGACTTTCAACTCTAAACTTCGTCCTCAAGTGTCACCATAGCCAAAGATTCTAATGCACAAAACACTGTCCTAGGTCTACTGAAACCTTGCTCCAAACTACACATTGGAGCCTTCAACGTACACACATTATGTCAAATCGGTCAGCAGGCTTCCTTGGCTAAAACCCTAGAATCCTGTGCCATTGATACATGCTGTGTCTCGGAAACACGCACACCGGATCCTAGTGTGATCATTCACTTGCCCTCACCCCGTCAAAACGGGAAGCCGACGAGATACACCCTGGCGACCCGATGACTAGTTCTCTTAGGCTTGAGGGTGTAAGCATAGTACTAAGTACGAGGGTAGATCCAGCACTATTAAGGTGGATCCCCGTTAACAGTCGTTCATGTGCTGTTAGGCTAAACATCTCCGTCAAATCTCGGAAGGATAGACACACGTCGTTGCTTTTCGTCGTTTCTGCCTACGCTTCCACTGACTGGAGCCCAAGTGGAGTGAAAGATTAGTTTTATAGAAAACTAAACGTTCAGACATAGTACTCGTAGCTTACTTACTTACTTATGCCTGTTACTCCCAATCGATCATAGGCCGCCGTCCAGCATTCTCCAACCCACCCTGTCCTGAGCATTCCTTTCCAGTTTCGTCCGATTGTTGTTCATTTTTCTCACATCTGTCTCCATTTCTCGGCGTAATGTGTTCTTTGGTTTTCCTCTTTTCCTTTGGCCTTGAGGATTCCATGTGGGGGATTGCTTTGTGATGCAGTTGGGTGCTTTCCTCAATGTGTGTCCAATCCACTTCCATATTTCTTCACCCGCTAGAATCTGGTTTGTTCTCTCCCATAGTAGGTTGTTGCTGATGGTGTCTGGCCAACGGATCCGAAGTATTTTGCTTAGACAGCTGTCAATAAACATTTGTATCTTTTGGACGATGGATTTCGTAGTTTTCCAGGTTTCCGCCCCATACAGTAGAACTGTCTTGACATTTGTATTGAAAATTCTGACTTTGGTGTTGGTTGCCAATTGTTTTGAGTTCCATATATTCTTCAGTTGTAAATATGCTGCTCTTGCTTTGCCGATCTGCACCTTCACATCTGCATCAGATCCACCATGTTCATCGATGATGCAGCCCAAATATGTATAGACTTTTACATCTTCCAAAGCTTCTCTATCAAGTTTGTTTTGATTGGTACATGTTGTGTTGTATCAGAGAACCTTGCTTTTCCGTTTGTGTATATTGAGACCTACTGTTGCTGAGGCTTTTGTTACACTCGTCGTCTCCTCCTGCGTTTGTGAGATCGACCAGCTTCGCCCTAGCTGTCCACCATATCCCATACTTCCCCCCAGATGTTGACGTCTTCATGGTCCAGTCGATCACCAGGAGAAAGAGAAAGGGTGAGAGTAAGAAACCTTGTCTGACACCGGTCTTTACTTCGAACGAATCTGTCATGACTTTACATTGTCATCCATCATAGGAATTCTGTATGATATTGACTATCTTCTCAGGCACGTCATAATGTCGAAGAAGCTTCCATAGTGTTGTCCTGTCCACGCTATCAAATGCTTTCTCGTAGTCAATGAAGTCGATATAGAGTGACGAATTCCATTCAATCGATTGTCCCACAATGATCCGTAGAGTTACAATTTGGTCCGTACACGATCGATCCTTACAAACTCCAGACTGTTGGTCTCGAAGTTGGGCGTCTACGGAGTCCTTCATTCTGTTTATCAATACCCTGTTGAAGACTTTTCATGTGTGTTGAGAGAAGAAATGTAAGGCAAGTGTAAGTGAAATTATCTTCGAAAAGGACGACACTCTTATTTGCTCTCAGTCTAGACGTTTAGAACGATGTGCGGAACACTATAAGGGATAGTTCAGCATGCCTTCAGCTACTCTACAGCTACCCACTATTTCCAAACAACCTGAATTGAACACTAATAGATCCCTAAATCTAAATGAAGTTCAGAAAGTTATAGTTAATCTGAAACGAGGAAGAGCAGCTGATCCAGATGGATTGGCTCCAGAGGTCTTTAAGGATGGTGGTCCAGTTTTAGCGATTAGGTTGACTAGTATTTTAGCTAAAATTTGAGAACTAGATATAATCCCATCTGAACGGTCGCGAGCAGTGATCGTCCCAATATGTAAGAAAGGATCA